TTTTTTTTTTTTTTAAAAAGGTAAATTTTACATTTTAATCAGCATTTACACTCATTTTGGTGGCTAAAATCCACCTCTGCCAAAGGATTGATTTGGGTTTTTTTTTCCAATGAGCACAGGCACTCAGATTTTCCCTAAAAAGCTCCTCCCAAAATTATATATATTTTTTTTTTTTGGGGGAATTGATTTCCTGCTTGCCCTATGCTGAGCAGGCAGCAGCTCCTGTGAAGTTTTATTTTTTTTCCACTTTTTAATCAGCGTTTGTGCTCATTTTGGTGGCTAAAATCCAAGAGTTTTTTGGGTTTTTTTCAGCCTAAAATTGAGGAATGGAAGGAAAACCACTGAGCCAAGGGTGCTGCAGGTCCCACCCAGTTCAGACCAGAAACTCTCCCAGCCTTCCCAGGGGATGCTGGTGAAGGAAAATCCCAATTTTCCTCAATTTTGCATAAACAAAACCAAGAGTTGAGGATCAGGTTCTTTAGGGCCAGGTCTTGCAGGTATTGAAATGAAGTGGCTGAATTAAGCAGAAACTGGAATTTTGTTGGTTTTTTTTTTTTTTTTCCCAGAAAGATGATATTTATTTATGATATATTTATTTATGATATATTTATTTATGATATATTTATGAATTCCAGGTAGGAATTGGCAAAGTTTCCCCATTTTGGGGAGCTAAAAAATTAAAATAAAATAAAAATCCCATGGGGGAAGGAGGATGCTCAGGGACACGGGGACAGGAAAATTCCTCAAAAAAAAAAAAATCCCCAAGGAATTTTTAATTTTTTTTGTTCTTCAGGAAGTGGCAGAGCCCTGAGCTCCCCAAGGAGGATCCCTGGGGATGGGATGGGATCAATGGGATGGGATCAATGGGATCAATGGGATCAATGGGATCAATGGGATGGGATGGGATTGGTGGGAGCTCCTCATTTCCAATTCTCCATCTCAAATTCCCCATCCCCAATTTTTTCCCAATTTTCCATTTCCTATCCCCAATTCTCCATCCCAAATTCTCCATTTCCAGTTCCCCATCCCCAATTCTCCATCCCCAATTCTTTTCCAATTCTCCAATTCCCATCCCCAATTCTCCATCCCCAATTCTCCATCTCAAATTCCCCATCCCCAATTCTTTCCCAATTTTCCATTTCCTATCCCCAATTCTCCATCCCAAATTCTCCCATTTCCAATTCCAATTCCCCATCCCCAATTCCCCATCCCCAATTCCCCATTTCCTATCCCAAATTCTTCATCCCAAATTCTCCATTTCCCATTCTCCATTTCCCATTCCAATTCCCATCCCCAATTCCCATCCTCAATTCTCCATCCCCAATTCCCCATCCCCAATTCCTTCCCAATTTTCCATTTCCTATCCCCAATTCTTCATCCCAAATTCTCCATTTCCCATTCTCCATTTCCAGTTCCCCATCCCCAATTCTCCATCCCCAATTCTTTTCCAATTCTCCAATTCCCATCCCCAATTCTTCATCCCAAATTCTCCATCTCAAATTCCCCATCCCCAATTCTTTCCCAATTTTCCATTTCCTATCCCCAGTTCTCCATCCCAAATTCTCCATTTCCCATTCTCCATTTCCAATTCCAATTCCCCATCCCCAATTCCCCATTCCCAAATTCCCCATCCCCAATTCCCATCCCCAAATTCCCCATCCCCAATTCCCCCATCCCCAATTCTCCATTCCCACCTTCACTCCAGGGATGTCCAAAATCAGGGATTTATCCAAAATCTGGGAAAATCCAGCTTGGGGCTGCTCCCTTCACTGCTTTTCCTGTCCCTCATTGTTCCCTTTATTAATCCCTTCCTTTATTCCCTTTATTATTATTATTATTATTATTATTATTATTATTATTATTATTATTATTATTATTATTATTATCATTATTATTAAACTGTAGGGTGAAATTTTGGGTATGGACCTGTCTGCTGTGTGACTCCTCTATCTGTGTGTGGGTTTTTAATAGATTTAATGTGAATATCAGATTTTTTATTTTTTTTTTTTTTTCACATTTTTAGTACAGAATTGTGTCCCAGCAAAGCAGCTTCAGGTGTCCCAGGTGCTGCTTCACCTTAATTGGGGCACTGCAGGTTAATTACTCTCATTCACCTGTGATTTGGGTGGTTAAAAAACCACCTGAAATTTGATTTAATTGGTGTTTTTTTTGTGTTTTTTGTTTTTTTTTTTTTTTAGGGAACTGGAGTTCTGGGAGGTGAAGGTCAAGAGCAAAGCCTTCCTTTACAGACAGGTACTGCCTGCAGGACCCGAATTTTAATTCTGCCACTCTAAAAATGGATTATTTCAGGAATGCTCCACTGGGGGACCCTGACAGGGACAGGATGAGGATCTGGGCTTTTTATTTGATCCATAAACCCCAAATCTCCTAAATTTGTGCCTAAACCCCTCACAAAATCTTTTGCACAATCTCTGCCCTTGCAGTGGTAAAATTCTTTTTCATGTTCTTGCTGTGGCCAGTGGATTTGAACCCAGGAAAAGCTGCCTGGAATTTCACTTTTTTTTTGGAGAAAAAAGAAGAAAAAACTTCTTTTTTAACTGAAACTTCCCTGGATTCTTTGGAAATAATTCCAGATTATTCTCCTGAGGGTTTGCTGTGCCCTCAGCTCTCCCCCAATTCCAGGAATTATTCCCAGCTCTCCTTGGAGCAGGGAAGAGGCAGGAGAAAGTTTATTTTTTGGAGGAGAGGGGGTGTTTTGTGGGAACAGAGAGCAGCTATTTTTTAATTCTGTTTTGATGTTTTGACAACCCAAATTTGTGGGGGTTTTTATCCAGTGCCAAGCAAAGCTCTGGCAGGGGGAGCAAAGGAAGGACAACAAATTTGATGGGGGCTTGATTGGTGCCAAGAAAATACGGATTTTAGTGTTTTAAAAGTTCATAGTAATATTATAATTTTAATCGTATGAAGAATTTTAATGTTTTAACATTGCTTTAACCATTTAGAGCTCTAAAAAGAGAAAAATCAGAAGGGGAAATTCCAATTATTGAGAGTGCAGAGGGAGCAGGAATTCCTGCTATTCCCCCTGGGACAGGAATGGGGTTTGAACCTCAACCTCAGCATCTCCTTTCTCCACACCTGGGGGGTTTTTATTGGACAAAAAGGTGAAAGCACCCCAAAAGCTGAACGTGGATATTTTTTTTTTTTTTGGTGCAATATTTGGGATGAGTGCCGTGGATTTGGGGTTTTTTGGGTTTTTTTTTGGGTGATTCCCAGTGTGGAGGCACCAAAGCTGTGGCGTGCAATGACCTCTAGTGAGGGTGGATAAAATAACACAGGGCAGGGTTTGAGCTGCCTGCAGAAAAATTGGGGCACTCCAAGATCCCAGAATTTCCCTCTGGATAAAAACCCCTTGGATTTTTGGATCTTTTTTTTTTTAATTGATGAGCACGACCAGGTTGCTCAGTGAGCTTTGGTTTATTTATTTATTATTATTTTTTTAATTAATGGGTCACAAACTCAGCCCAGGGGTTGATTCCAGAACTGCAGGAAGGATTTTGGAGAGTTTGGAAAAGGCATGAGGGGAATGGAGAATTGGGGAATGGAGAATTGGGGATGGGGAATTGAGGAAAAAGATAAAGAACATTGTCCCAGCTGATTTTTAACAGCTGGTCATAAGAATACAAACTTTTGGTCACATCCAGCATTTCCAATTTTCCACCCCCAGTTCTCCATTCTGAATTCTCCATTTCTAATTCTCCATCCTGAATTCTCCATTTCTAATTCTCCATCCTGAATTCTCCATTTCTAATTCTCCATTCTGAATTCTCCACCCCGGATTCCCCATTTCCAATTCTCCCATTTCCAATTCTCCCATTTCCAATTCTCCCATTTCCAATTCTCCCATTTCCAATTCTCCCATTTCCAATTCTCCCATTTCCAATTCCCCATTTCCAATTCCCCATTTCCAATTCCCCATTTCTCCATTTCCAATTCCCCATTTCTCCATTTCCAATTCCCCATTTCCAATTCCCCATTTCTCCATTTCCAATTCCCCATCCCCAATTCCAACTTTTGCTCACACGCTGCAGCCCAGGACATTTTTCAGCCCGGGATTGGCTGCTCAGTGTCCCCAGGGCAGCTGCCACCGTGTCCCCGTGCTGTCCCCAGGTCAGGAGGATGGTCGGGGCCCTGGTGGCCGTGGGTCAGGGCAGGTTGACCCCTGAGCACATCCAGGAGCTGCTGGAGCTGAAGGATTCCCGAGCTTTTCCCTCCTATGCCATGGCCCCAGCCTCGGGGCTCTTCCTGAAATCCGTGGAGTACAACCAGGCAGGTGAGAGAAGGGGTTAGGGTTTGGGATTTGGGGTTTGGGCACAGCCAGGCAGGTGAAGGAAGGGGTTTGGGTTTTGGGTTTTGGGGTTTGGGAGCAGCCAGGCAGGTGAGGGAAGAGGTTTGGGGTTTGGGTTTTGGGAACAGCCAGGTAGGTGAGGGAAGGGGTTTGGGTTTGGGTTTTGGGCACAGCCAGGCAGGTGAGGGAAGGATTTTGGGTTTTGGGGTTTGGGCACAGCCAGGCAGGTGAGGGAAGGGGTTTGGGTTTGGGGTTTGGGTTTGGGATTTGGGCACAGCCAGGCAGGTGAGTGAAGGGGTTTGGGTTTGGGGTTAGGGTTTGGGGTTTGGGCACAGCCAGGCAGGTGAGGGAAGGGATTTGGGGTTTGGGCACAGCCAGGCAGGTGAAGGAAGGGGTTTGGGTTTGGGTTTTGGGGTTTGGGCACAGCCAGGCAGGTGAGGGAAGGGGTTTGGGCACAGCCAGGCAGGTGAGGGAAGGATTTTGGGTTTTGGGGTTTGGGCACAGCCAGGCAGGTGAGGGAAGAGGTTTGGGGTTTGGGTTTTGGGTTTTGGGAACAGCCAGGCAGGTGAGTGAAGGGGTTTAGGGTTTGGGTTTGGGATTTGGGGTTTGGGCACAGCCAGGCAGGTGAGGGAAGGATTTTGGTTTTGGGAATCACATCCCAGGGAGCAGCAAGGCCCCACAGAGACCCTCCAAACCATCCCCTAAAGATCCCGGGGGTTTGGGGGTTTGGGGGTGTTTGCAGCAGCTGAGATGGATTAATTGGGGGTTTTCCCCTCTTTTTTGTTAATGAGAGGGGATTTCTGTTGTCAGTGGCTCTGAATGATGCTGTAAACTCTTGGCCATGTCTAAACCCCAAATTTCCTGTGGGCTCCAGAGCTCCAGTTCTGTTCCTTTGCTTCTCCCTTGGAATTTAGGAGAGGATTGTGGAGGCTGGAGGGCAGAGCATCCTTTTGTTCAGATTAATGAAATAAATTCTCTTAATTTAACAGCAGCTGATCCTGGGCAGGTCCCAGGCCAGGCTGGGCAATCTGGGATAGTGGAAGGACAGGGGTGGAATGGGATGAGCTTTTCCCTGTCAAAACCTCTCCATGATGAACAATTTGAACTTTTTCAGCCTCAAAAAAAAACCAAAAAAAAAACCCCAAAACAAGTGGGATGCTGACAGGATGCTCAGACTGCAAGGATTGATGCAGAGCCCGGGAAATGGGGACACAAAACATTTTTTCATCACCCTCAGAGCTTGCCCAGCTCAGCAGACACCCGGGGAGGGGACAAAGAGGGGACAAAGAGGGGCTGGAATTCAGCTCTGAGCTCACAGGCAGCTGCTGCCTCTGTCCCTGTCCTGCCCTGGCGCTTGCAGAGCCGTCTCTCCCCATCAATGAATGTTTTTTTTTTTCTCTCCTGTCAGATCTGGCCGTGCCCGCAGCAGAGGAGCTCAGTGGGCTGAGCTGAAAGGATTCCTGTGGCCGAGGGACACAGCCCGACCTCAATTAAAAAAAAAAAAAAAAATAAATTTTTGTGCTGTTCCTTTTCTGTGTGAGCTGCTGCTGCCGAGGAGGAGGAAGGATGGGGTTGGGTGTTTTGATATTTTGGGGTGGTTTTTTGGTTTTTTTACCTCCTGTGGGCTGTGTGGGAGGAAGGCTGAGAGCAGAGCAGAAAATGCAGCATTTCCTCTCTCCCCCAGCCCCGGGTGAGCTGATTTTTTTTCTTTCATTTCCAGAACATTTCCAGAACAAACCTTTAGCAGTGCTCATTTTTTTTTTTCCCTCTCCACATCTCCCAGTAGCTTTGAGATTTTTTTTTTTTTTTTTTTTAAATCCAGCTTTTTGTGGCCTTGTCACCCTCCCAGGACATCAGCAGGGAGTTTGGTGTTTTATTTTCATTTTATTTTCATTTTATTTTCATTTTATTTTCATTTTATTTTCATTTTATTTTCATCACTCAGCTCTGCCTTGCTCGCCCGGGCAATAAAATAAACGTTGTGCAACTCGTGGGTTTTTTTTGTTTTTTTTTTTTATTTTTCCTGGGGAATGGCACCAAAATCTTGGCGTGTTTGGGTTAGAAAATGTTTGATGAGCTCTGAAGTGAAACCCTCGTGCAGGGGAAGCTTTTTTGGGGTGTCTGTGACCCACAGAACAATCTCGGGGACAATTGAACAGACAGAGTTTTGGGCAGAGCTCCCGGGGACCACGAAATTAAAAAAAAAAAAAAATTCATTTTTATTCCCTCAGGGAATAATTCCAGCACAGTTCTGCTTCCTTTGGGGTCACTTTGTGCTCCCTGCTCCAGCCTGGCTGGATCAGCATGGGAAATGTGGGATTTTTATAATTTAATTTGTGTTTCCAGCCAGGAATTTCCCTGAAAAATGGGAATTTCAGCATTCCCTGGCTCTGTCCCTGTGGGGATGCAGCTCCAGGCTGGCTCAGGGATGGTTCCAGGGAGGATTTTTGGGATTTTTGTGCCTCCATCATTTTTATTCCCAGAGAGAATAATTTTCAGAAGAGTTTTGGAGCAGTTCTGCTCCTTTTGGGGTCACTTTGTGCTCCCTGCTGCAGCCTGGCTGGATCAGCATGGGAAATGTGGGATTTTTATAATTTAATTTGTGTTTCCAGACAGGAATTTCGTGTTTCCAGCCAGGAATTTCCCTGAAAATGGGAATTTCAGCATTCCCTGGCTCTGTCTCTGTGGGGATGCAGCTCCAGGCTGGCTCAGGGATGGTTCCAGGGGGGATTTTGGGGTTTTTGGGGAGCCCTGAGCTCCCCCCCGGGGCTCCCTGCCCGGATTTTGTCACTGTCCCCTTGGTGCTGGTGCCTTCCTGGGTTTTCTCTCAGCTCTCACAGGGACCTCCCCACGTCCCCTCTGCACCTCTGAGCTCTGGTGAGTCCAATTTCCATCCACATTTGGGATTTTTTTTCATCTTTACAGGGCACAGAAATAATAAATATTAATTCTGTTTGGGTTTTCAATCAACCTGCAGGCTCAGGTCTCTCCCATTTTTAGCGTTTTTAGTGCAGCAATTGAAATTTTTGTGGTTTTTTTTCAGCTTCTGGCTCAATAAAAACCCGAATTTATCAAGTGAGCAGCCCAGGCTGGAGTTAAGGAATAAATTATCTGGCAAAAAGAATTATTGTGGGGTTTTGTTTTTTTAAAAAAATAAAGGGAGGGCAGTGAATGAAAGGAGATGTTTTGTAACCTCAGCAGAGAATTTCTGCTCCAGCCCCAAAGAATTTGGATTAATACTCATTATTCATTAATTGTAATCAGTAATTAATTCATTAATACTCATTGGCAGGGGGATTTTCCTTTTTTTTTTTTTTTTTCCTGGTTTTATTGTGAGATTCTTGGTCTTTCTCAGTTGATTCAATTTGAGCGACCCAACCATGGGGAGATTGTGACAGCAAGGCTTGAAAATCAGGAAAAAAATCAGAAAAAAAAAAAAAAAATCAGGAAAAAAATCGGGAAAAAATGAAAAAAAAAATCAGGAAAAAAAAAAAATCAGGAAAAATCTCCACGTTTGTCCAAAGTTCAGAGACTCAACCACAGGTTTACAGGGAAAAAAAAAAAAGGAATTTATTTCATGAACTCCAAATCCAGTGGGAATTTTGATGTTTCGTGGATTTTTGTAAATGAAATAATGTCCAGAAACAGGAGATTGGGGAGCTTAAAATGAAAACACTGGGGTTTTTTTTCTTTTTTTTTTTTCCTCTTTTCTCACGTTCTTTTATCATTTTTTGGTCTCTCATCTTTTTATCTTTTTTGTCTGTTTTCTCATGGTTTTGTGTTTTTCCTCGTGTTTTTCCTCTTTTTGCATGTTCTTTTCTCATGTTAATTTTTACCATTTTTTTGGTCTTTTTCCTCATGTTTTTTCCATTTTTTTTGGTCTCTTTTACCATTTTTTGGTCTCTTTTCTCATGTTTTTACCATTTTTTTTGGTCTCTTTTACTTTTACCATTTTTTAATCTTTTTCCTCATGTTTTCATCGATTTTTTTGGTCTCTTTTTCTCATTTTTCTGTCTCTTTTCTCCCCTGTCTGGGCCACTCTGACTTGCTGAGACAAACAAGCCTGGGAGGAAACGTGAGCTGAGAGTTTCCTGTGGAAACCCCCCCAGCCTTTCTTGTTTTTGTGCTTTCAGTCCTGGGGACATCCTGGGTGACTTTAATTCCTTTAATTAATTCTTAAATTCCCCCCTGTCTGCACTGGGCTCTGTTTAGGTGCCATAATTTGATTTATTTTCCCAGATTTCCAACGGGACAAAAGCCATTTCGGGAGGAAGTTTTGGAGCAGATTTTCAGCATTCTAATGGGACAAATTTCCTCATTTCCAACGGGACAAATTTCCTGATTTCCAATGTGACAAAAGCCACCTCTGGAGGAGGTTTAGGAGAAGATTTTCAACATTTCAACGGGACAAATTTCCTGATTTCCAACGAGACAAAAACCATCATGGCAAAAATGACAAAAGCCAACTCCCGAAGAGCCAACGGAAAAAATTTCCAAAATTCCAACGGGACAAAAGTCATGACGGCAAAAGAGACAAAAACAAACTTGCAAGAAATCAATGGAACAAATTTCCAAAATTCCAACAGGACAAATTTCCTGATTTCCAACGGGACAAAAGCCATTTCGGGAGGAAGTTTGGGAGCAGATTTTCAGCATTCCAAGGGGACAAATTTCCTGATTTCCAACGGGACAGATTTCCTCATTTCCAATGTGACAAAAGCCATGGGAGGAAGTTTTGGAGCAGATTTCCTGATTTCCAACGGGACAAATTTCCTGATTTCCAACGGGACAAAAGCCATGTCGGGAGGAAGTTTTGGAGCAGATTTTCAGCATTCCAAGGGGACAAATTTCCTTATTTCCGACGTGTCCAGTGCCCTCTCAGGAGCCGTTCTGGGAGCAGATTTTCATCATTCCAACGGGACAAATTTCCTGATGTCCAACGTGACAAAAGCCATGTCGGGAGGAGTTTTTGGGGCAGATTCGCAGCGTGTCCCCCTCGCCGTGGCCGTGCTGGGGCTGGGGCTGGGGCTGGCTGGCAGCGCGCTCTGGCTCTGGCTGTGGCTGCGGCCCTGCAGGACGAGGCCTCTGTCCCCGATGTCCCCGGTGTCCTTTGTGTCCCCCGTGTCCCTCATGTCCTCGGTGTCCCCTGTATCCATGGTGTCCCCGGTGTCCCCTGAGTCCCTCATGTCCTCGGTGTCCCCGGTGTCCCCCGAGTCCCTCATGTCCTCGGTGTCTCCTGTATCCATGGTGTCCCCCGAGTCCCCGGTGTCCCTCACGTCCCTCATGTCCCCGGTGTGCCCCCTGTCCCCCTCACGGGTGCTGTTGCTGCAGTTGGCCCTGCTGGACGCGCTCCTGCTGGCCCCGCTGGCCCTGCACGCCCACTCCCGCCTGCTGGGCCCCACCTGGAGCTTTGGGGACACGGCGTGCAGGGTCACCGGGGCTCTTTTCTACCTGCACTGCTCGCTCAGCGTCACTTTCCTCGTCTGCCTGTGCCTGCAGGCGTGGCTGGCGCTGCTGCACCCGCTCGCCTCCCTGCGCCTCACGGCCGCCCGCTGCGGGCTGCTGGCCACGGCGCTGTGGCTGCTGGCCCTGGCTGTCACCGCGCCCCTCCTGCTGCACGGCGGGGAGCTCCGGAGCTGCCTCGGGAGCTTCCCCGGGAGTTTCTCCGGGAGTTTCCCCGGGAGCCGGGCTCAGCTGCTGGCCGCCGCTTTGGGGGTGTTCGTTCCGTTCGCGGCCGCCGCGCTGGCGCTGCCGCTGGCGGCCGGCAGCGTGTGGAGGAGCCGGCGCAGAGCGGGCCGCAGGAAGGCCCTGGGCACCATCGCCATGGCCATGGGCATCTGTGCCCTCTGCTTGCTGCCCCACCAGCTCACGCAGCTGCTGCAGCTCCTGCCGGCCACCCCTCAGCAGCCGCCGGTCCCCAAAATGCAGAGCGTGACCGAGGTGCTGGCGAGCTGCGGCTGCTGCCTGAAGCCCCTCCTGTACCATTTCCACTCCTCCAGCAGGGCCTGGCGCTGCCCCTGCAGGCTCAGGCTCAGGTCTAAGAGGGTGTTCACCATCTGTGACAGCAATTTTGGGGACCCTTCGTGGGGCTGGCAGAGCCTGGGAGGAAAATCCACGGGCATGGAATCGGCCGATCCACGCCAGGTACACGCAGAGCTGATATTTCCAATTATTCCCTGAAAAAGAAGCCTGGAAATCCCGTTTTTGTTCCATGTGGTGGCTTTTTAAAGCGGGTAAAGATTCTGATCAGAAAACTGGGACAGTCCTTGGGAGCCTCCAGAGCACTCCTGGGTTTGTGTCCAGGGATGTTTTGGGCTCAATCTGTTTCATTTTGGGGCTGGCAGAGCCTGGGGCTGTTTCCTGGGAAGCAGCACACCCCAGGAAAGGGGGATTTGAAGGAAATTCAGGGAATTTGTGGATCCAGGCAGCCCTGCTGGGCTTTTCCCTGTTTT